CCCCCAAGCATGTAAGCATAATAATAATGATCTTAATGACAAATAGCAGTAAAACTGAATGACAGTGGCCCTGTTGGGGGTCTGTCTTTGAAGCCAAAGTTCAGCCTCCCATGTGCTGCAGGGGAAGCCGCCAACTCCAGCCCTTCTTGCCAAGTCTGCCTCTCCTTTTGTGGGAGTCTCATTTGGGGAAGCCAGATTGCCATCACAGCCCCTCGCCTGGGTCTTCAGGATGTCAGGCAGCCCCGGGCTTGGCGGCAAGCCCCCACTGGCTCACAGGTGCCAGAGACACCTGCTCCTCTTCCTACTGGGACAGACCCAAGAGAGTCTCATCATCCTTTCTGTGGTCTCTGGGCCTGTCCTCAGAACCAGGCTGGCTCCCTAGACCACGAGAACCAGAGAACCAAAGTGGGTCACAGACACCAGTTGAACTAGACCAGTACTGTCCAATAGAAATAGACTGTGAGCCCAAACTGCATTTAGCAGCCATGTTTTTGAAAAGTTGGAAAAGAGCTAGAATAATAAAAAAGTTTTAATGAGCTATTTTGCATTTTTTGTACTAAGTCATCAAAATCTGATGTGCATTTTACACCTTGAGCACATCTCAGTTTGGACTAGCCACATTTCAAATGCTCAGAAACCACGTGTCCAGTGTCTCTAGGCATTAGAGAGTGGCTGCAGACAGCTCGGGAGGGACAATATAACCAACATCCTAAATCCTAAATCATGTGTATCTGACTGTTTAGCTTCAAGCGGTGCTCTCTGACATTGCTTCCTTTTTGCAGTGATGCTTTGGTTAATCGAAGACATTTATGAATAGCAGCTGATCACCAAGGGAAACCTATACTTGAATTTGCAATGGCGAGGTGGCACCCTATCCCCAGTGACTCAGATCTTTGGAACCTCCCATGTCCTCTAGTGCAAAGCCAAGGGTGACAGATTGTAAGCTGCTCCAGGAAGAAACGTCCCAGCTAAATTCTAAATCCCCATACTATTGTTACAGTTGAAGGCACCGCAGCGTTCAGAGTGATTTTGCAATCTCAGTCCAGCGGCTGAGCAGACGGACTCTCGAAGCTGACAAATGCTGTGGCAAGAAAAAGGAGCCCTTGTCACCTGGTGTTCTGCTTTTGGGAAGCCTTTGGAGAAAGGAGAGGGCGTCATCAGAAGGAGTCATAGGAGTTTAATGCCGTGGAAACAGAAAATGAAGAGTCAGTTGGAGCCCAGTTGGTGTAGAATTAAAAACAGAAACCTTCAGGTGGCCATGGTTTTTAGGATTTGTGAATCATTCTGACCTAGAAACAGGGCTCTCACACCCTCCTTTTTGATGGCTTTCCAAATTCAGATGGTCCCCACCACCAAAGCAGCGGGGTCTTGTTGGTAAGACTGCAGAGATATTTGTAGAATGTAAGATAGGAAACAAATCGCCACCTCCCTCCTTCAGCTGCTACCGATCCTCCTCCTCATTCACCCAGGAACACAGGTGCCTCGGCTGTGCCTCTGTTAGGAACAAACTTACTGAAACGCCAAGCAACGTAAACAGGTGGCCTTAATATAATTAAGAACAAATTTTATGCATGTGTTTTTGAAGTATAGTTATACTTCAAAAATGATGATTTCACATCTCTTTAAACTAATCCTCAAGGCCCTTTGATTAATATTTTATTAAACCTAAATGTGTGTATTTGAAAGCCATAAAACTGTATCTTTTAATATGTCAATATTCAGAGCACCATTTACTAATCAATTGATTGGCTTAAGGCAAGTCTCTTAACTTACTGAAACTCGGTCTTCTCACCTATAAAATGGGATTTATCATTTGGTTAAAATCACCGTAGTTCTTTGTGTTTGCATAGGACCTTGCAGTTTTCAAACAAAGTCCTTTTACATTCACTCCTGTTACATTCACTCCTTTAACTATCCCCCCCGGTCTTTCTGGATGAGCAGGGTTTCCCCTGGGTGGAAAGTTTCCATTCTTGGGAGCACTTTGTGTTTCCACTCAGGTTTATGCATTTCTGGTTGGCACAGCTTCTGCCATTTAAATGCAGAGAATACAGAATGCCACTGGGGAAACAGGTGGAGAGGCAGGAAAGAGATCCACGAATATATTAGTTCATTTCTTCATTCATCCATTCATTCAATTGTCCACTCATTTATTTTCTATTATTCATTAAACAAATAATTATTAAACACATACTATGGCAATGTCTTCCATATGAGGTAATATATAGAGTCTTTAAAAGTAGAACACTCAAGTAGGAAAGCTTCCCTTTAAACGCTCACCGTGACACTTATGACTTTAAATTTTCCGTAATTTTTTTTATCTAGGCAATTGGGAAATTATGCAGTCATTCCGTGTTTACATGGTGTAGTAGTACTCTGTTTTCTGTTCTAACTTTGAAAAAGCCAACAAAGCAGAAATAGAATTGCCCAACACTTACAGTTGGTGCCAGCCTAGATCAGCAGGCAGTCGGCCGACGCCAAGATGTTAGCAAGCCGGGCCAAGACCAGCACCCCCTGGCTGACCACCTGCCTTGCACAGGGACTCAACAGTAATCCTAAAATTAATATAGTACCTTCTTTCTGATTGGGTTAGAAGTGGGTCTTTCATTGCTTCTAACTCTATGAAAGACTCAGGTGAAGAAGATGCCCATCCTAGGATGCAGGCTCACCACCTTCCCTTCAGTGACTCTGCCTCTGGATGCTACACGTTGGGGGTTGGGGGGAGGGTATTCTAATCAGACTTTCAGCTGCTCCAGCTGAACTCTCTAGAGCAGCTATAAAGAACAAATTCTAAAGCAGGAAATCCTTAATTCAAACTCACGCTCTGTCACATATTCACTGGACACACCTTGAACAGATTCCTTAATCTTCCTTAGCCTCAGTTTTTTCATCTGTAAAATAGGGATAATTGTGGTATCTACTTTATAGTGTTATTGGAAAATCAAAGGAAACAGTGTCTATTAAGCACTCCTTTGATGTTTGGTAAATAATAATGTTGTCTGGAACCATGTTTATGTGTCAGGCATTTTTCTGGGTGCTAGGGCTTCAGTGATATATTATTAAAGAAATAAACTGACTACAGAATAGCAGGCTGGCATAATCCCATTTTTTTTAAATGTATACACACACATATACCACACCTAGAAAAAAGATGGAAAAGTTTTATGTGAAAATAACAGCATTAGTATTTCTAGGTGATAAGACTGTCAACAATTTTATTTTCTTATTCTTTTAGCTTTTTTTTTTTTCCTTCTAATTTTTCTTCAGTGGGCATGCATGGCTTGTGGAATAAAAAGAAACAAAAAAAGTTATTTTCTAAATGAATGATTTTACATAGTCATGGAAAATATGATGAAACTGGCATCAGGTAGGGGCATAAATTCAGTCCAACTCTTTTGGGATGGCAATTTGCCATTGCATCAGAGGTTCTAAAAATATACAATATGGATCCAGTCATTTCCTGTCTGGGAACTGGAGTGACATGTATCATCTCTGGGTAATAGATTGGAGACTCATTTCATTGGGGTTTTTTGTTGTGTGTATTTTCTCCGTTTTCAGAAAAGAACATGCAGGAAAGAATAAAGGTAGTAAAAGAAATTAGAAACTTTTTGTAGGTTCCTCTGGTTATCATTGTTTTGTCAAGAAAATGATCTACAAAGCTGCCAAATCCAAACGTGGACCCCCTGGTTGCTGCCCACACTTAGGCAAACCGTTAGGAGCTTCTATTTCTCATTCTTCGTGGAGAAATATGAGTAATACATTAAAGGCATAAAGGTGGGCAGACACACAGAAAGTTTTCTTATGTCCTAAGACATTTATTTAGGCATTCTGGGCCATTAAAAAAAAAAAAATCCTAGAACATGTCAAAGTCATATGGAAAATGGTGGAGTGATTGTTCTGAGTGCCGGTAAGTACGTCTTCACCTCGAATCCTGGGGCATGATCCATGGATCTAGGAATTGTGTGCCATATGTATACAGCTCACCTGAGAGGTAATGAAGCTAGTGTTTTAATAAGCCATGTCATGCTTAGAAATGCAAATCATATTGCTCTTTTCCATGAGGGGAGGTTATAGAATTTTCCTAATACTTCTGATAGCCACAGATAGAAGAGTAGAATGAGCTCCATGCAGCCCATCACTCAGCTTCAACAGCTGCCTACATTTTGCCAACTCATTTCATCTATTCTTCTCCCCACCTGCTTTATTTAATTTTTTTTAATTTAAGTTATGTCATTTCACCCCTGAAAACTTCATCTCATACATTTCACCCATTCATCTCTAATTAAAAAGGACACTTTTTAACTTGTCACCATACCATTCTGCCACCTAACAAAATACATGATAATCCCTTAGTATCATCCGATATTCACATTGTATCTTAATTTTTTGAATTGTTTCAAAATTTCTTTTTTTCAGTTGGCTGGTTTGAATCAAGATTCAGATAAGGTCCAAATATTGAATTTGATTATTATATTTTATGCCTCTTTCAAAACATTTTAAAACTTAAGTCATGCAACAGACTGAATGTATATCATTGTGTCTCTGTGTGCAACACAAGAAAACTAGTACTTTCAATTTAGTTTTTCCTCCTTCTATTTTTCATCATCATCCTTATTTTAGTGAAACTCTGTTACATAGTTTGGTCATCTTATGTGTCAGACCCTAGCTCTGAAGTCTTTTTCTAAAAATCAAATCTACTTTAGCATCCAAATATCTTCCACCAATTAGGATAATTAAATCTACCTTCAAACAGTGCTGTGGTCTCCAGGTAGACACAGAAGAAGAGTCTCAAAAAGGTTTTGGGCACTGAATCGTGGGGTGATAGTTCTCAGTGTGCCTGATTTGAAGGACCCTCTTCCCTTGGTGTAGAAATCAAAGACAGGGCTTATCACCTCATCTGCATGAACTGAGTGCATACATGCCTACCTGCTTGACTTACCTGTTCTAACAGGAGCTATTTGATGTACCACTAAATGTGATTTGATGTGTTTGTTTCCACACAGATAATCGCTTACCAGCCGTATGGGAAATCCGTGGACTGGTGGGCCTATGGCGTCCTGTTGTATGAGATGCTAGCCGGGCAGGTAATGTTTCGCCACATTTTCATGTTGTTTACTGCAGTATCATGTGATTGCTTCAGCTCTGTTGGGGCACTGAGAGCAGGACCTGACGATGAAGTGTGGCCGATATTGGTCTGATTTCCTTGACCCAGGGGAAAGAGGAAGCAATTCAGCCTTGAAAAGTAGATTATGTTCGGTGTGCACAAAAATTGAAAGCTACAGCCTGGAGTGTAGACCATGTAGCTTTCATATTATAAACACAAGTCCCCTGCACACTGCTGACAGTGATGGCCTCTGTAAGTTTTCAGGATCTCCAAACCGGGCTCAGGTTATGGTTCCCTGCGAGTTTGTCTACAAAGGTGACCCCAGCTGCTGCCCATGTGCATAACTGGTATTATTATCAATCAAGGAAGAACACAGCTACATTTGAAGAAGTGTTTTAATAGCTTCTTCCCATTTCCTCCTGTCTCACTCTTGGCAATGCCTTGTAATTTTCACAGAAGTCCAGAGAGGCTGAACTTGCAGTTAAGAAAGGTAAATTAAGCGTCTCTTAGGGTGTGACGTGTATCAGACAACCAGGTTATCTCCTGGCCTTGATATCTATATCATCAAGATAACTCATACTGGCTGTGTTAACAAATGACCCCAGCACACAGCACAGGTTTATTTCACATTCTTGGCACAGTCCTATGTGGGAGTGGGGCACTGATCCACACAGTCATTCAGGGATCCAGGTTTCTTCCATCCGTCACCTCCGCCACCTTTTAGGGCCTCCGATCTCGCCACCGACTGCTGCTCATTTCAGCCAGCCAGCAGAGAGAGAGCACAAGCACAGTCGCACAAAGTGTCTTAGGGGCCAGGCCTGGAGGCGGCACGAATCACTTCTGCCTACATGCCACTGGCCACTTGGTCCCACTGAGCCATAAAGAGGGTGGATGTATAGCATGTGCAAGAGTCGGCATGGGGAAGCAAGTTTGGTGAACATCCAGGTCCCTGCTGTCCTGTGGTGGGCGGCTTTCCCTGATTCCCAGCACTCAAGTACTAGTGCCAAGGAGTTCACCTGCCCATAGCCAAAATCCTTAGTAAGTGACCATGGGAAGAAATGCCCGTTTTTGTGCAGCAGAGCTACCCCCAAAGAATTCTTCGTTCCTGGAGAAAAAAGTCGCCCTTTCTGACACGTCACATTCATTGACTTATTCATTCATTCATTCAACACGTATTTATTGAGTGCTTACTATGTGTGCGGCGACAAGAGTGAACAAAACAGACAAAAATCCTTACCTTCGTGAAGCTTATCGCTTAGAGGAGAGGCAGTAGGTAAGTTAGATGAGGAAAATGCATATGTCCAAGAAAAGCTAGGATGAAAAGTCACAAAGCAGGAAGAGAAAATAGTGTTGAGCGAGAGTTGAAATTTTAGCTCAGTTGGCCAGAGAGGGGGCCTCATGTAGAAGATTAAGTTAAATGAAGAGTAGAAGGAAGTAAGGGAATGTCTGTGTGCATTTCTGGAGAAAGGATTCCAGGCAGAGGGAACAGCAAGTGCAAAGGCCCCGGGGTAGGAATGGGGGAGGAAGCTGCCAGCATGGCCACAGCAGAGTGAGCTAAAGAGGCAGAGTAGGATGTCTGAGGTCAGACAGGAAGAGGCTCTGGGTCATCTGGAGTCTGGTGGCTTTCACTGTGGGTAGTCAGCCATGCATGGTCTCTCCTTTTTGTCTCTTCCATTATGCCTTATATCTCTTAGACACTAAAACAATCTTTGAGACTGTGAAGGATTTAAGGTACTAGCCTGCATCTGATTATTATTTGTCAATGGTGTTGCCACTTGATTGACATCAAAAGACCGGTTTGTTTATTTAGTATTTATTTAGGTATTTTCCCCCTCTAATCAAAATGTTTTTCTTAGGCCAAATACCTACAGGTATGAACATACAGTTGCTGTCAGAGAGGCAGCAGCTGGGGAAACACAAGTTCCCTGCGCCTGAAGTTAATTTCCCTTCTTTAAAATCTCGACAATAAAATTTGACTCCAAATTGCCAGCCCCCAGGAACCACGCTGTTCCTGAAGGCCCACAAGCCAAGTCCCCTCCTCGATCCCGCTTGACTGTTCAACTCTTGAGTCCAGAAAACAAACCCCGCTTTCATTAAGGGTCACATTTGCATATGCCAACAAGTGGAACTGGCTGCGTAGAAACAACGGGGATCCGTTTCCAAGGGCACTTTACAGGAGCTAACGTGAGTTGACACTTCCTTTACTGGCCAACAGACTAGAATTTCAGAACACAGGCCTGCGGGTACATCCCCTGTCCCCTCTCGATGCCTGGCTTCCCTTCTCTCCGAGCTTTCCTGGGGCTCCATTCCCCAGGCAAGAGCTCCGGGTATGCTCTGTTCCAGCAAGAAGCTCCACTTTGGGGCGCACTGTGAAGTCTTGGCCCCGAGAGCATTTCCAGGCCTGCCGTGGAGGTTTTCTAGCCTTGCCCATGCCGCACAGACCGCTGGGTTCCTGCTCTCCGCACCCAGTGGGTCCATAGCATTCCAGCGTGTTCCCATCATTTCCCTGCTGCTTCTCAGTGCCAATTAGCCTGCCTTGTATACATCCCTTGAAGTCTTCGTAATCTCTGTTGAAAATGGTGATATTCTTCAAAAATGATACCTTAAAGGCACCCCACATTCCAGTGCCATGGCGGGCACAGGTAACAGCCTTTTTTCCTTTAAGTCTTCACTTTGCCTGCTGCACAGTGTTTTCATTCAGAGCCCCTTCTTCATCTTCCTCTCTGACTCCTCAATGCAAATTTAAACATATCCCTCGGCCGTGACTCAGCCTGGAGAGGATAATGAATGCTCCGAGAGTATTACCCACAGCTCACAAAGCTCTAGGAGTGTCGGAGACCCAGCCAAGGGAATAGATGCTGTTATTGAAAAGTAAGATTAATTATAAAGTTGTTGATGGGACTGTGGCCTAAATTGGTCCTCTTTAATCACAGAGGGCTGAAGATGAGCAGGAAAAAAAATAGTTTATTGCAATTTTCTTCTCATTTGTGTTATTTATTGTCAGCAGCCAAGGGGACAGTTAAGCATAAACAGCCTGAGTCTTTATTTAGCTGCTGAATTGCTTGACAAATATGATCACTTTTGGGGCATAAATAGTATTTACCCAGCACTCTAATGAGCATGTCGCAGCTCAGAATGTTCACAGTGTTCATCATAAAGGGACCGGCCCTCTCTTCTTTATGTCCCTCTCTGCCAGGGTTATTTATGCTTTGTCTTCATTCCTGATGAATCAGTAATTGCAACTTTATCTAAGAACTTCAGCCTGAGTTGTCCATGGGTGCTGTCCCACCCCTCACCACAGGGTATCAGTGATTTGCAAATAAACATGGCAGGGTGCCAATGGCCACTTACTCTAGCAAGCAATTTAGGAATCATTTTGTACCCCAGGTACTCGGGAGGCTAAGGTGGGGGAATTGCTTGAGCCCAGGAGTTCAAGGCTGCAGTGAGCTATGATCATGCCACTCTACTCCAGCCTGGGCAACAGAGCAAGACCCTGTCTCTTAAAAAAAAAAAATGAATCATTTTGTAAAGTATGAGCCATCACTTTTCCTCTTTGTTTAAAGCTCAAAAATTACATATTGTTAAGGGTTGAGGGCAATGTAACCCTTTCAGAAAATTTTTAAGGTAACCCAAGACTTGTTAACAGGTGGCTTAGCTTGGAACATTGAGTCCAGATTTGTAGAAACTAAAAAACAACCATGAGAATGGGGGAAAGCAGGGAGAGAAGCCATCCAAAATGGGTATGTGCTAAGTACCTCAGTGACACGGTAGCCTCACTGTCCCCAGGCTAGGTGGCTGGTATTAATGGAAAGGAAAAAGAGTATAATCATAATTTTTCACCATTGACTTGCCTGAGAGCAAATGCTTACCTGTCAGAATGCTCCAGGGTGGCCCAGAGGGACTTAAGAGTCATAAACACGTTCATATCCTTGGCTACATAATGCCACACCTGGGACATTATTCTTAGGAAGTAATTCAGAGAAGAAAAAAAAGGTTACGTATAGATGTTTCTAGTTGCATCAGTTATTAGAGTACGCCGCTGGAAACAATCACAAACGTGCCCATGAACCAGTGGATCGGTCATGATAATGTCTCACCTCAGTGGCATTCAGCTCTGAATGCGAACGCTGGTGGCTGCAGAGAAAACATGTTTGCGACAGTCTGTGAAAAACGAGAAACTCTAAATTATGCATTGTAAATTGAAAATAGTGTAAGCCTAAGAATCCACATAAAAATAAGAGCAGTGTTTGTGTGTAGGTAAAGGGAACAGGGATGCTTCTCTCATGGATTTCACCCACCTCCAATATTACATAATTGTAATTTCAAATAGGGCTCTAGGGGGCTCTTTGAATGATAAGGGTCGTTCCTGCTGTTCAAGGGGTATTTCTGGTCTTCCTCCCTCTTGGCAGATGGGAGATTGTACTTCCTGGCTTACTTGTACTTGTCAGATTGCACTTCCTGGCTTACTTGTAAGTGCGTGGGGCACGTGACCAGTGCTGGCCAATGAGATAGGAGAGGAAGTGCTGGGGTGGGGTTGCCGCCGTGGGACGGCCCAGAGCACATGCTCCAACCTTGTGCAGCAAGACCAAGATGGCGACCGCTCAACAGGGTCGGACCCTGGGTGACTGCAGTCAGCAGAGCCCTCTGCCCACCCCAGACATGTAGCATAAGCAAGAGAGAGAGAATGTGTTGGCTTAAGCTTTGGAGGTGTTCTTAGTTGTTTGTTGCCATCAGAAGACCTAGCCTAGCCTTGCTCTAGATCCCCTAAGGCGCAGTTCAGATACAAATAGTTTGCATCTTGCAGTAGGCCGGTCACAAGAGGACACACATTGTATGATCCCATTTATATGCGATGCCTAGAATAGTCAAATTCATAGAGACAGAAAGCAGAAGGGTGGTTGCCAGGGGCTGGAGGGACAGGATGATGGGGAGTTTGTGTTTAATGAGTGCAGAGTTTCACTTGGGAAGATGAAAACATTGTGGAGGTGGATGGTGGCGCTGGTTGCATAACAGTGTGAGTGTACTTAATGCCACAGTGCTGTGTGCTCAAAAGTGGTGAAGATGGGCAATTTCGTTATGTGTATTTTATCACGATTTAAAAAATACCGTATATCTTTGCAAAATAGGGGACAGAGTAGGAAACAGTGTGTGTTTGATTTGATGGCATTCCCAAGCTGGGAGGAGGTGCTTAACTACGCCTCTCCCTTCTACCCAAGGACAGTCCTCTTTTGCCTTCCTCAAGGTCATCGTCTGCAGCCTGGCAGGTAGTTCCAGAAGCAGCACAGAAACCGCACAGGCTTACACAGCTGTGAGGGAGGCCGACCCGATTCCCATTGGTCCATTAGTGCTGGGAAATCGCGCCAGGTCTCTACCCTAAAGGCCAGTCCTCTCTGCAGGATGACTTAAAACATCTCAGGCCCCTGGGGCTGCTCCCTCTGAGTTTTCAGAACTCACCGCTGCATATCGTGCAGGATAGGAGTCAGCCTTCTGAGGTTCTCTTCCCCCACGTTAGAGCCCTCTTTGCGTGCTGAGGGGACCAGCAGCCAAGCACCCCCCACTCGTCCCTGTCTTTGCCCTATTAGGACTGGCGCAGGGGTCATCCTTCGCTGGCTAACTATGGGGCAAGCAAGGAGAAAGTGTCATTGCCCATAATGGCCCAGAGCCTGAGCTCTGAGGTCAGGATGGCTGGGCTAGTCTCTGCACCCTGACGTTGTTCTGAGGGTTGAGTGAGCGATGCTGACAAAGCGCTCCACACAGCGCCCGCCCGGTGTGCAGAAAGCCTGGCACATGAGCGTCACTGTTGTCACTGTGCCGCTCTTCCCTCCTGCCCATGGTCTTCTTCCTCGATCAGGAGTATAGACTCACAGTGGGTGAAAAGCGCAGCGGGTAAAGGCCTGCCCCCTCCCTGGGATGTGGTGACAGGAGACGCCCTAATCGTTGGGCCCACACCAGAGATGGAACATGGGGTGAATCTTGTGGCTCTGTCACAGGAGAATTTGGTTTTGTGGCTTTTGTGATAGCTTAGGACTCTTATTGCAACAGACAAGCCTAAGAGGCCTCTGAGGATCCTTCCAACCCCAGACTAATCATTCACATTGGGATAAATAGCTTTCGTTATTGCAGGACTTCTCAGGGCCTTTTGTATGATCCCATTTATATGCGATGCCTAGAATAGTCAAATTCATAGAGACAGAAAGCAGAATGGAGGTTGCCAGGGGCTGGAGGGCCTTTGTATACAGATGTCCAGAGAGGGGTAGAGAATGCAAACTTTGACCCAGAAATATGCTGCAGGGCCAATGTTCTAAGGAAGACTTCTTGGGGTATGTCAGGATCCAGGTGTCCTGTCCTCAGTTGGGCACAGAGAAGCCTCCCTTGACCCACAGAATCTAATCCCTGATATGAGACAGCTGTTTCCATTTCAGAAATTAGCATATGTGGGGACAACGCCCCTGGCCAAGCTGGTCCCCATGCCATGAGACAATGGAGCAGGTGTGGCAGGCCAGCACCCTGCACAGAACACACTCCCCTCAAGCAATCCCTGGGCTTCCATATTTGGGGAGGGAAAGGAGAGGCAGGAGCTTCAAACGAGGATGATCTTCTTACTGCCTCACTCAGAAAGATTCCTGGCAAGGATTCACCTGCACCTCTCTTAGGCCTTTGGATTGAACTGTCCGTGGCTCCGGCCCTACATCATTCCTGCTGCTAGACTTGAGCGCTTCCAAAGAGGCTGGGCGAATCTCGCTGGCACCGTTGTCCCCACTGAGTGAAGTGCCCTGCATTTGGCCCATGCAGTGACACAGGCCCCGAGCTCAGAAGAGCCTCACATGTTTGGTTTAGTGCTCTGCTAGCGCCATCTTGAAACTCTTAATAGTTTCTTAATAAGGGGCCCCACATTTTCCTTTTGCACTGAGATCTGCAGAATGTGTAGCTGCTTCTGACCAGAGGCCCTCCCGGGCCACGTCGTGGGTGTCTGTCAGTGCCCCAGAAGCAGAGAGCGTGCACACAGCATGTGCTCGGTGCCCCTGCAGGGGCGCAGGTCACAGCCCTGAGCAGAAACCATGCCACATTTGTTTTAGTTATAAAAATCTCGGCCGAAAGTAGCCCACATTTATGGATCACTGATGAGGGAAAATGGGACATTTTGTGGGTGTCATGCAACAGGTGTCCCGAAGAAGTGGGTTGTGCACCGTCGGGCAGGGGAGATGTAGGGGGTGGCCCTGGGGCTGGCCTTGCACCATGGCTCTCAGCTGGGTACACATCCCCCTGCTAACACAGGTGGCATCTGCAGCCTGCGCTCCCGGTGGGCACTCCCCAGCCACCTGCCCGTGGAAATCGCCATAACAGGCTGCCTCTCCCCTGTTCTGAGTCGCCCGCAGCCAGGCTAATTTTACTTCTCACCCACCTGCGTGCTTCCAAAAAATTAAACCTTTTTTATACCAGGCACTTGCAACCAGAAAAGAGGCCTATTTATTTATATTTCAAAACCAAAAAAAAAAAAAAGTTAAGTGGAACAGGCACCCTGCCCTCTGTTCTCCCTTACCTGGTCCCAAAGTGGGGCTCCTTTAGACTTGGCATCTTTCCCTGGGGGCGCCTGGCTCCTGTGTACTGACCCCACCATGCCCACCTCCTATCCGGGGCTGGGCAGAGTGCTGAGGTCGGGTCTCGGGGTGTCAGATGAACAGGTTGGGAGGATTTGTGGGAGGCGGTTGAGGGGAAGGGTCTACTTGGTTTAGTTGCTCTACCTCACTGGGAGGGGGTTCTGGTGAGAAGGGGCATCCTGCCGACCGCACAGTCGTCTTTGATCCATGACATAGTTTAAGTTTAAGCCAAATACCATCGCTCTCTGAATCCTCCCCATGTCAGCCAGAGTGACTGACTCCTCCATGAGAAAGGATTAAATGCCTCCTCCATGAAAAGGATTAATCAGAAGATTAAGCATAGGGCTGCCCCCTGCTCTGCCTTTTTTATGCTAAGCTCAAGGTTACCTGAGCCAAAGGGGTCCACTAAGGAATTCCCTGTGACCCCTTCCTTCTGCATGCCATCCAGCCAGAGTGACAGGTAATTTCACAGATCCCTCTGGATTAAAGACACACTGAAGGGAAAAGTTTGCAGGGTGTCCTGAGCTCAGCCTTTCCTCCTGGAAGATTCTTGAAGCCCCTCCCAAGAGAGCTGCTATGCCTTAAATGATACCTCCAAGCAGCTTTCATCGGGCACATAACTGGGTACAACACAAAATACCAGGCACTTTCCATACTCAACAGAAACCCCATTTTACAGGTTAGAAAACTGTGATTTTAAAAAGGTAAGTCACTTGCCTCTAGACCCCAGCTAGGAAGCAGTAGAACTAGAATTCTGGTCGGGATCTGCCTGACTTTGAAGCCATGTGCTCCAGGGGGCCACCATGCCACCTCCTCTCAGCCTGGGGACTGTAAACCCAGTAAAAGAGGACAAGGGAAAGGTGCAGTGGAAGCTAGGGCCCCATCCCTGCCACCCTGCAGGCGGCAGGCCCCCACAGAGCAGCTCCTGGCCAGGTCAGGGGCCCAGTGTGAATTCCTGGGGACGTGCTCTCTGCCCGACGTCCCCTTCACCCCAAGCGCGGGTGCCGTTACTCTCTACCCACTACCCCCACCTTCTGAACACAAAGCCATCCGTAACCTAACTTGATCATAATTGGGTTTTTTAGCACATAATTACAAGATTAATGGATTAATCATAATTTATTTGCAAATCATTAAAAGCATTACTCAAAAACATTTTCCCCAAAGATTGTCTGGGTTGCCCATGGCAAGATAATTAGAGAGACAGATGAAAAAAGGAAAAAAAAAAAATGAAAAACACACAACCATCAGTCTCATTAAAGATAATCAAATAAACCCACCAGTTAATTGAGCTAGCTCTGCTGTCTGCGGTGTGCCGAGAAACCAGGTCTGTTTCTTGGTGCTGAATTGGGTCTTCAGGCGCCATGTGAATGAATTACTCTGCCCAGATGTTTTCCCATCCTTCTTTTTTTCTGGAATAGCCTCCGTTTGACGGTGAAGATGAAGATGAGCTGTTTCAGTCCATAATGGAGCACAACGTCTCCTACCCGAAATCCTTGTCCAAGGAGGCCGTTTCCATCTGCAAAGGAGTAAGTAGATTCGGATCGAGAGGTTGAGCAGGAAAATTCCTTCCCCGCGCTTGCAAGAGAGGTGGAGGAAATGCCACAGACTCCTGCCACTGCTTGTCAGCGGTGGAGGGCCGGGGCATGGCGTCAGGCGGGGGCACGGTGGGAAAAGTGAAGACCGCGGAGCGGGGAATGTGTGGAAATTCCAGTGCCTTCCGGGACTCTGGCCCAGACACCTAATCGTAGTGCGTTTGTTTCCAACCCTTTTCATAAAGTCGCAGTGGAGATCATCACAAGTCATCGCAGGCCCTTGGAAAAACGTTAGTTCTCGGTCTCATGCTTCACTTGCCCTAAATTAGTTCTTTGTTAAGTTTTTCTTCTTCTGGGATATAACATACATACAGAAATGGGCACAAATCATCAGTGTGCAGATAAATGAATTTCCACAAAATGAATGGGCCCGTGTAATTGCACCCAGGTCAGGAAACAGACCGTTTCCAGTGCCCGAGAAGCCCCCTCCTGTCCTGTCTGCTGTCACTGCCCCAGCCCAAGACAGCCAGGCCCCTGAACCCTAACCGCATGGACTAGTCTTGCCCGTTCTGAACTTTGCACAAATGGACTCTCACAGCGTGTGCTCCTCGACCCGGGTTCTCTCACTCAACACTGTGACTGTAGGTTTTATCTACATGGCGATCTGAGGATATATTCCTCCTTTCGTTGCTGTGTAGTATTCCACTGTGTGGACATATTTAATACATAGGTTCTTTATTCTGCTAGTGGATGTTTGGGTTGTTTCCACTTTGGTTTGAAGCTGTTATAAATAGAACTGCTGTGAACCTTCTGGGTCCTGTGTCTTGGCGCACACACGAACACGTTTTTGTCAAGGAAATGCCTAGGAATGGAATGACTGGTTGTAACTCGGCTGGTTTTTACTGGTCAAGTTGTAGGTCACAAAATTATTTTCAGACTTAGCCAAATGGAGTGTATCACACTCTTAACATTTTCCGGTGAGTCTGGCCGTTTGGGAAGCATTTATCACGTGCCTTCCAAGGGCAAGCGCTTGGAAGAGATGCTAAGGTCGGGAAGAACTGGCTTCTGCCTGCAGGGAGCTCGTGGTCAGTGCTTGCCACTCCGGCCTGCAGTGGGCACGCTGAAATTATAACTAGTCACCTTCCTTATCACAGTATTTATTTTTCCAATCCAGGAGTCTTTGACTGATAGTATTTTGGCCCAGGCCATTAGGCACACGATGCTTGTTACAGCACCCCTATGTGACACCAGACTGTGATACTTTCAGGACACACCATTTTTAGTGACTGCCTGCCTGCCTTTTTACCCATTAAACATATAGAATGGCAGCTCTGAAACAGACAATGCGGAAAGATGCCAGTTTAAATTCTCCTTTTTCCATTCGGCCGTGGGTTCAGATTGCTTCCCTTGTTTCTTTATCTAGAAAGTCACTATAGAAAGGCCTGTGCTTGTCAGCGTCCCATTTGTGACTTGGCTTCACTCTTCAAGCCACCGAGTTTATTGATAAGCTTCCCGGGATGCCGTCCAGGTGTCCCCGGAGTCAGGGCCGTAGGCAGAGCTGGGCAAGGGAGAGGCGCTGTCGCTGGGAATCCATTGTCACTCAGTGTTCCCTTTTCCTCCCTCTGCTTTCCAGCTGATGACCAAACACCCAGCCAAGCGGCTGGGCTGCGGGCCCGAGGGGGAGAGGGACGTGAGAGAACATGCCTTCTTCCGGAGGATCGACTGGGAAAAACTGGAGAACAGGGAGATCCAGCCTCCATTCAAGCCCAAAGTGGTGAGTCCAGAAAAGCAGCCTGTTTCTGAGCCCTACCTCCCCAAACTCTAGAAGTCACCCACCCCCCCACCCCTGCTGTTTCTTGGGGAGAAAAGGCCAGAGACCCCTGGCCTTGCAGGGGGAGGAAAATGGCCAAGTCCCAGCCTTGTCCTCAGTCCTGTGGGCTGAGCAGCCAGGATTCCTGCTGACTCTGGGGGCGAGGACAGGGGAGGGAGGGAGGAGGAACCTGTGCACACCTGGCCCTCCAGTAGGGCAGCACAGAACATCCCCCAAATAATTAGAGAGCGAGGACAGGTCTGCTTTGGGGACCGGACTTCGCAGACTCACATACGCCGCAGACCTGTATTCCTAGCCCTGAGTCCTTGGCTGGACTCGCCTTCGTGTCTGTCTCCAGCTTGCCTGGATCTGCCGGGCACCGATGGCAGCCCCGAGGCACAACTCGGTCTTGGCCAGCTCGTAGGCAGAGCCTGGGTGCGGCCTCACCTCGGCTACTGGCCCCTGCTGCAAGGAGAGAGTCACTCACCAGTTCTGATGTTGCCACCTTTATTTATACTTCCTGTGCGATTCCCATTTTCTTTCCCATTTATTTAATGAACACTATGTGCCAGGCCCTGTTCTCTGGGCTTTACGAATATTAATTCATTTAATCCTCCCAATAGCCCTGTGAGATGGGTGCTCTTGTCTTCCATTTGCAGTGGAGAAAACTGAGGCACAGAGAGGCTGGGTCACTTGCCGGAGGACCCACAGCTAATAGGGGGCAGAACCAGGACAGAGTCCGTGTCCTTACCACTGCACCATTGCTCTGTCTCGGTGACTGTCCTGACTCTGGTTCTGTCGATTGCAGCAGTGCATGCCTCGCTCAGTGCGTGTGTCTCTAGAGGTAGACTGAGAGTGTCTACGACATCAGCCTCCTCACTCTCACCACCTGCCACTTTGCAGTGCCCCCAAGGGGGTCCCATCTCTAAGGGCCGGGCGGATGGTGCCTTCCAGCCCTGCCACCGTCGTGGCCAGCACTGGGCAGCCACCCCTAGTCCCCCTCCTCCGAGACTGCAGAGGTTGCTGCTTTCGTCCACAGTCGGTTTCAGAAGTGTCCGCCGTGTCGGTTCGGCTCAAATATGTCTCCTTGGACAAATGTCCCGTGAGCAGGCGGAGGGGACCCCTCGGGGTGGCAGAGCTGCTGACTGGGTGACACCCAGTGCTATTCTTAGAGCAGCAGCTTCCTCATCCCATGTGCCTCTGTGTTCTCCACCCCAGAAATAAAACTGCGGTTGGTGAGCCCACTTGATTTTATTTTTCTAAGATATTTTTAGCAGTTACATTAATCAGGTCAGTCGACTTTCTCCTGAATCATCGTTTCAAATAGGCCCCTTAGGTGTCTGCCACCCCCACCTTCTCTGCAGCCAGCCCTGCACACCGATTTCGGGGGTTTCTCATGGGCTCCTGCCCCTCAATGCACAAAACCTGGTTTTTAAGGTTTGGGGGTGCTGGCCAGAGTGATAAACGATGCTGCCGGTGGTCTCAGTAGAAAATCCTGTTAGGGAGTTTCTCTTTTCCCTTTTGCCTTTTATATTGTCTTCTTAAATGAAAATATGAAGGGTATGAAGTAACACCTTAAACACAGTTTAGTTCCTTTACAGGAACAACATAGAGTTGCACACTGACCCCGCTTTTAAAGGTTGAGCAAAATGCAGAAAGAGCTGAGTTGCAACAAAGCTCACTGTAAAACCATCTTTTTCTGTTTATTCCCACCTTATTTCAGAAGGTAGTGTTTATTTGCATGCCTTCCCATTTTTTGTGGCTTTGTGGCCCTGAACCTGGGGAAGACAAGAGGGTGCTTTGGCAGCCAAGACCGTAGGTGGTTCCCCGTGAGCCGTGTAAACCACTGGGAGCAAAGTTGTGCCCACAGCCGGCGCTGCAGTAGGAGCAGTGTTTGCTTATTTTTTATTCGTAGAGTACTGCTCTTTGCCTGCTTTTTAAAAAAAAAAAAAAACAAAACTGAGTGCTGGTTAAAATAAAAAAGAAAGAATAAATTGCCTCTGGCTGTGAAGAAACAGACCCTGAACTCTCACAAACAGAAGCAGAAATCACAGACCAAGTCCCTAAAACTGACGGTTCCATGTGAAAGGCTGTGCTTGGCAAGAGCTCAGGCCGGAGGAGGGGAGAGGCCACGTCTGCAGAGGTCAGAAGCCAGAGGGTCAAGGGCGAAGAAATAAATGGGGCAAGTTCTGGTCCCCGGGAGGGCAGCAAAGAGCAGCTTGAGCTCTGTTTCCCCACCCCAGTCCCCACGCCTGCCACACCCAGGCAGGGGTGTCTGAGACCAGAGCATCAGAAACACCACGCCAGGGACAGTCCGAGCAGTGGAAGAGGACGTTTAGCACAAAAGACAGCAACCAAAGTCAAGGCTGCGGAGCGCTCCGTGGCTGACGCGAGCAGCAGGGGAACTGGCTGCGTGTAAGAGCTTCCCTGTGACGTGTCCCCCTGCCTCGGTGAGAAGTGCACCGTGATTCCCTGAGCTGGAACTAGCTGAAAAGTCAAAGAGCTTGCAGATGAGATACAGGGCTGAACGTTCCCTGACAGGCACTTCTGTTATTTCAAGGAGAGGTGCAGCGCGGCAAGCCCGGCCGGCGCTGCTCAAGGAAACAGAACGACCAGGGAAACACATGGCCACCGGATACTGTCACTGACGTCGTGCACTGAGCCCATTTCTGAGAGGGTCTCCCCCCAGAGCAGTTCCATTAGCCCCAGCTGACCACCCTGGTCTGTCGTGGTGAAGTTTGCCTGGTCCATGTTTTAGCAAGTGCTGGGGAATCAACTTCCCTGAGACTGAGAGGACTGAGGACTGGCAGCTGCTCTCACGTGCAGAACCGCTGCTGGCCCCTCGCGCGTCACTGCGAGATACTGACACCAGCAGCAGCACTGCAAGTGCTCACGATTATTTGCTGGATGCTTCTGCAGACCAGGTTTGCACTTGTCGGATCAAGGATCTATCATCTTTGGTTTGCTTTATTTTTTTTTAATGTTTTTGAACCTCCAATGAAAGATTATTCCAGAATCACTGACTTCCCTAAGGAGGACAGAGATAATCTATCTCTGGACAGCCACAGAGCTTATCCAGAGGAATCGGCGTCCCCATAGCGTGCTACCTGTTTTTCACCTTTCTGACTGGCAGCGTGATACCACTCAAGTTAAAAGTACCAAGCAAAACGTGAGATTCCCCCCGCAGAAGACATTTCACAGTGCCGTGATCCATCAGGAGGCCCTGCACAGGACTCTCCATCTCACGGTGACGTTAAAGGAGAGAGGAGAGTGACCGGCATCGGGTGTTGGGAACTGTGGCCATGTCCCCCGACAGTGACAAGTCTGGAGGCTGGGAGGTGAGGGAAGAGCCTGCCCTGTAGCAGCCAACGGTGGGAGAGTCTAGTCCTAGATGGAGCCATATCCGTCCCCAAAAGGCCACCAGGTGCCACTGGGAAAATGAAGATGATTTTCGGGGAGACAGAACGACCACTTGGCAGGGTAGAGACTCTCTCGTGCTGGTTTATTTTGCAAAACAGAAGCACAGACAACTGCAGACGGCCGTGCCACGCTGTCCTGGAGACGAGGCGGCCACGTAACCATCTCTTCCTCCTTGAGAGAAACGCGCAGAGCAAGCTGGTTTTGGGGACCGCGTCAGTGAAACACAGCACAGGGGACCCTCGGCGTTTGCCTGGTGTCCTCAGCAACAATCCCCGTCATCAGAAAGAGGCCCGCTTTTAGTATTCAGAAGGTTCCATGTAAGAAGATAGCTTTTATTTAAGTTTAAGAAAGATGTCGCCTCTGAGAAGGTTAATCTTCAAGTCACTGAGGGAGAGCCGGCGTCCACCCTGCCTCCCGTGGGGTCCCATGGAGGAGGGTTGGTGCCGCCAGCCCGCGTGGCCCCGGCCACCAGAGAGCTCACCAAGGGAAGGAAAGCGCGTTCTTTCTGCTTTGCCCGAGACGCAAAAGCCCAACGTTCTGATCCAGCGTCACTTTGAATTTTGTAGGCTTTTATTCGGATTTATAATTCATGTGAATAAAATGGCCATGAATAGCCTTCAAATTTCCACTCATCCTGCCCGTGATGAGAAGCAGTTTATGCAAATACCGGGAGTATAAAGTTAATTGATTTTTCTCTTTTTAAATGTCTGTCCATTGACGCCAAGGAGCCAGAAACATTCACTGTACTCAATTGGTTATATTAGAGAAATGAATCTAGAAAGTTAACAAAGGAGAGGTATATTTCAGAGTGGACAGGTAGGCAGAGCGCTTTGGAAATAGGCCTTTCACAGGTGGCCTTTCTTAGGAATTCGACTGTCGTTATCTTATCAAAAAGAGAGAGAAAAAAAATAGAATAAGTTTCATCAGAACATTGGCATCCTTGCAGCAAGAACCAAAGAGAATAAGAACAGCTGAGGGCAGGTGTAGGCGTCACTGTGGTGAGAACACACAGTCGGGGGACTCCCTCCCAGTCCCCGCGAAGTCCTGTCTCTCGCGGTGCTGTTAGCATGTTTGGAGACCTTGACGGTGGTTTAATTATCGAGGTTGGTGCAGCGATCCTTTTCATTTTTAAAACACTTAATCTTGAAATAATTTCTAATATCAGATTTGCAGAGGAGTCAGGAGGTAACCTAAAGAATGCCTGCATTCCCTTCGCCCAGATTCCCTAGCGTTTTATAGCACGTTTGCTTTGTCGTTGTGTCTGGTATGTGGGTGCAGACACACACACGTAGACATGTTTTTTTCTGAATCGTTTGTAAGTTGCAGATGTGATACCTCTTTCCACCTAAATAATTCCATGTGTATTTCCCAAAAGGAAGGACATCATCACAGCACCGTGTTCTTTTCCTAGTCTCTCTGGAAAGTTATTTATGCAGAGCAGCAGTTCTGTGTGCAGGTAAAAGGAGGGGCCCTGGCTCGGTCAGTCTGATTGATACGCTGCCGCGGGCGGCCCGGCCACGTCTAATCAGTTCTCTCTCCCGGGTGGCAGGTAGCTTCGTTCCCTGGGCCTTGCCGTTGAGTCAGTGGCAGCGCTGCTAACTAAAATTGAGATTCTCAAGACTTGGGGAGTTTGCCGACACAAACACTCACCAGACTTTGGAGGCTAGAATAAGTCACATCAGGATATATTTATGTTTGATTTAAGCCTTTAAGTCAGTCTAAGGCAGCATCTTTTAGTTTGTTAATGAGAGGCAAGCAGTTTTTCCTACCTATTCTTTGATAATCACCCTCCCAAATACTTTCCTGCGGAGAAGAGAAATGGAAAGAAATGAGACATTTGAACTCATAATCAGTATAAATAATCAGCACTAGCGCAGGCCTCAGGGAGCGTCAGTGGTGGGTGGCAGCGTAAAGACAGACCCTGGGCTGGGGTGGCTCACGCCTGTAATCCTAGCACTCTGGGAGGCCGAGACGGGAGGATTGCTCAAGGTCAGGAGTTAGAAACCAGCCTGAGCAAGAGCAAGACCTTGTCTCTACTAAAAATAGCAAGAAATTAATTGGCTAACTAAAAATATATAGAAAAAAATTAGCCGGGCGTGGTGGCACATGCCTGTAGTCCCAGCTACTTGGGAGACTGAGGCAGAAGGATCGCCTGAGCCCAGGAGTTTGAGGTTGCTGTGAGCGAGGCTGACACCACAGCACTCTAGCCCAGGCAACAGAGTGTGAGACTCTGTCTCAGAAAAAAAAAGACAGACCCTGTGCGCATGAAGTTGTGTGACTTGACATGTTCCCATAGTTGGCAGCAAAGGTCCCCAGCAATGATGGTCATTCCAACTTCTCTTGGGAAAGGATTTAAGAATCCTCTAAATCTTGGCATTAACAAAAAAAGAAAAGGGTCGGGCGCAATGGCTCACGCCTGTAATCCCAGCACTCTGGGAGGCCGAGACAGGCGGATTGCTTGAAGTCAGGAGTTGGAAACAAAAAAAGACCCCATGGAGTGCATGTTTTTATTCCATAGAATGCAGCCCATGATGCACCAGAACCTTTGCCCTCGTGCCCATGTCTCTCTCACCTGCAAGAATCGGCTCATTTAATGTGTGGCTCATAGCCTGTATCTGTTAACAAGTTTATTGGCAGAATAAGCTTCCTTCAGAACAAAATTTTCCCTTTCTGAGGTAATGCGCTAAGGCAGTAGGTTAGATGAGTAGTGTCTAATTTTGTCAGAGCAACCAAAGACTACATGATGTTGGCAGGAGGTGGAGGAGAGCCCAGTCTCTTCTTTAAAGGCTATTGTTAAAATACTGTCATTATACGGTGAGATAAACAGTTAAGTGGCAGATATGGGTATAGAATAAAAAGGTATCTCCCTAACTACTGCCCCCACTATCCGTTATCTTTTCTGTACCTTCTGGAAGGTTGCGTGCATGCATAAACATACACGCCGTGTTTTGCACCTTGCATCTTTCAGAATGCGATATATTCCAGAGGTTTCTTTCCACATTGGCTCCCGTGGGTTTATGGCACCCTTTATGCGACCAATTCCCAATTTCTGAGTTCCAAGGCCAGGAGCTGACTGTTCTCCAAATGCTGTCCTTTGTCCGTTCTTATTCTCCAGACCATCCGTACCAAAATGCACTGGCTTCAGTGGGCATCCAGGTCTTCGGTGAGCACATTTCCAGAAGCTTGGGTACTAAATGAGCAAACTAACCTCACTTTTTAAGCCTTAACCGTGTGCTCCTGCTTGTGTTGGTCATGCACGGAAGACCGTCCCCGGGCATGCTGGTCTTCATAGAAAGGGCAGACCCAGATCCATGGCCAGACCCACTTCCTGGATGGTTCCACAGCGTGGACCTTACCTCCCGGGAAGCCCGAGCAAAACGCAGCAGCCCGTTTCTGCTGTGGGTTATCTGACTTCAGTGAAGACCGTGCGCAGCCGCGAGGCGGGGAGCTGTGCGCAGACGGCGGTGACGTGCTCGCAGATGCCCTCGCTGGCCCCCGGCGCGGGGATTTGGAGTACGAGGAAGGGCTCCCCAACACGAAGCACGTCCCGCTGCTGCATTTGGCAGTCGTGGGGGAGACCCCTACCTGTGTGTTTCCTTTCTCCGCGGTCTCGCAACATGCCTTTCCTCTTTATTTGCTCTGCATTCTTCCTCCTCTTCTGGGTTTTGTTTGGTTTTGCTTTTTAACGGCAGTGTTTTTGAGCTACTCATATTCCCGCACTCGTAATTCCCATAAGCTGTGAGCGTGGGCCGCATGACCGAGACCCCGAGCTTCAGGGCAGGGTGGAGCCCAACACGTGCATTGCTCCCGCTCGGTGGCCTCTCAGGTAAGAGTCGCAGTGCAAAGCCCGGTCTCCCCACACGCCGGCCCAGGGGCAGGGGCCGTGAGGGGACCGTGTGCCACTCGGGGCGGGATGGGGACGCCTCGCAATGCCAGGTTCTCCCTGTACGTCACTCTGTGCTCTGTAACGTCTTTACCATGCCTGATTTCTCCTGGGTTTGTTTTATTCATTGATAATTTGACCAAATGGATTAGGATGTGAAAAATGACAAAGGAATCCATCCTGAATCCAGAGATAAGAAAGGGGAGGTGGATTGCTGATAGTTCGCTCGTCCCTCAAACGTCAGTCGCGTGCCTCTGACGTGCGGCACTTGCTACGCGGCTGTCCCTGGTGTCTGTGTCCTGCCGCCTCACTTCGGAAGGGTCTCCCCTTCCAGTTCCCTTCCTCCTACGACAGCCTGGGAAGCTGGTGGTCACGTCCCCGTCCCGCCTTCCCAGAGAGCTGCGGTGTGTTGCCCGAAGCCCTGGCCGGCTGACCTCTGGCCCTTCACGCCGCTGTGCCCACTTCCCTGTGGGTGTCCACGCTGCCCAGGGACCAGAAGGCGTCCTCTGGTCTCAGGGAGAGGCAGACTCGCTGTCCAGTCGGGTTGGGGCCACCCGTGCCCCTCTGTCTCTGTCCCACATGATGTGGCACATCATGTCCCAGAGGGCAGAAGCCACAGTTGACAGAAGCTGTGGGCGGCCTTTGGGGGTGAAGGTGGCCGCACCCAGCCCGGGGTTTTGCTCACAAGGTGTAGCCGGGTGGCCCAGAGCTCTGAGGCCGTGGACAGCCCAGGCCTGCCTGCCGTCACTGGCTGCTGCAGCCGCTGCCCGCCAGCGGCCACCGTGACAGCCTTCCCGCCGCCTCCCTGAGGAACGCTGGGAGGACGTCTGCCGTCGGGCCAAGCGTCACTTTTCGCCCGATGGCGTGCTCATTCACGCGTTCACAGGCACCGGGTGCCCCTGAACCCCCTGGTCCCCGTGCCGCCGCTCGTTCCCTGCTCGGATCTGAGCTGGCGCCCCGGCTTGCTGCCCGCCAAGGCCACGGTCACGAGTGAGGCCAGGTCGCAGGTGGCAGGAAGAATCTCCGCGTTAGGGGTACGACACCTTCCTGAATCTATCATCTGCGCTTTCCGAGAGGGCCCGGAGAGCTCTGGGTTCTGTTGCCTTTTTCAGGAGGAGGTAGTGGTCGTGGTGATGAAGACGGTCGCAGCTGTCCACATAAACGTCTTGAAAAACACGGGGTTCAAGGTCTTCTCCCATTTGACTTAAAGGAAACTGTTTCTGGGCCTAATTTTGCTACAAGCTATGGAGGGCTCATTGTTAAAGCACCAGGAGACCCTCCAGGGTGCAAAAGCAAGTGACAGCGCTCGGTGCTGCGCTGCCGCCCTTGGCGAGGGAGGTGGGGTCCCGGCCCCACGGTAGAAGGTCCCCCAGAGCCTCGGCTCGCCGGGCCCCTTCCGGGCGCTCTGCCCCGTCGCTCGCTCAGGCATGCGCTCGGGAGATCAGGGAAAGTTCCCAAGAGATTGGGAAGAGGGAGCAAGCAGGCCTTTCCAGCGGTGACAGACGCACGTCACCACCACGCAGTGCGATCGCGGAGCAGCCCCTGGGCCAAGCTGCCCTAGCCCTGCGGTCACCACGCAGTCGTAGCCTACAGCCTGAACCAGCGAGGCGTTTCTGTCCCACTTGGCTACATAAGAAGTGGAAGCTCTTGGGAGCGACCCTTCCCTGGAACCCCCCAGCCTCACGTTTGATGTCCCCGAGCCTCCCACCCTGGGCTTCCCAGGCGTATGTTTCTGCGTTTCCCTTTTTAGATCTTGGGAACTTTTCCTTTAGTTTGCTTTTTTTATTTTTCTTTGGCAGTAAAGCCCTGGCTTCTGGAAACTTCCAGAGGAAGGTGATTTGTGAATGCCATAAAAGACGGCACTAAAAGGAAGGTGAGACCTGTGTGCTCCTTTCCTGGAACGCACTGATAAATCTCGAGCTGGACAGGGACATCCCTTTGCCTTGGCTGGCTTTGCTCTGCCTTGCGGGGACTCGTATCTTTTCATTGTGTTTTTTCCAGAAGTTCCTTCTTTCTCATCTTCGCACAGAGAGAGTATCAAGAGAAGTACCAGTGATCTCTTGCTAAGGCAGCATGCGTCCCAGCCTCTGGGAGCCCCGACTGTAGGCTCGCTTGAATTTCCAGGCAAAGGATGTGGATTAATCAGGTTCCAAAAGGGCGTCTTCCCCGAAGCCAGCTCCACCTACCTGTAACGCGCTCGTGATGGTTTCGCCTCGGGTTTCTGCAGCGTCCCCATTCTCTGCCCTTGTGGACGGCCGCCCCTGCCTGATTTCCCTGGTTGGCCCCCACATTTGCCCTCCCACTGACCGGGGGACCTGCTCGGCCTCTCGTACGGTCTTGGTGTATGTACCCGGGGCTTCTCAGCCGCGGCTCGGCTGGCAACCAGAGCCAATGACCCTTCGTCGTATGAGCGTGGGAGGGAGGAGGGGCTGCTCTGCGCTTCGCGGCGTCCCTGCCCTGCCCAGGTCATGGCAACCAAACTGGGCTCCCCAGGGGCAGGGCCATCTCTGGCCGAGGACAGCTGGTATATCCAAAGGAAGGCGATTTCTTTAGCTGTTATCCTCACAGCGCTATCTGAATGTGGTACCCCAGGGCAGCAAGTTTCTGTTTGCGTGCTGAGCTGATGAATCAAGTACACGCTCGTGACTAATCCCTAGGAAGGATGAGCGTGCCCAAACTTAGTTTTCAAAGAGCTTTTGCCAGCGTTTGGGCGTGGCCTGTGTGTGGGGCGGTGTGAGTGGCAGCCTCTGCTTTCAAGCGTGGCGGCGTGGGGCAGGAGGGGGGGCTTTGCTGTCCCTCGCGCGGGCGGCAGGGCCCCGTGAGCTCGAGGCCTCCCGTCTGGGCGGCTCCGCGGAGCCACCTGAAGGGCCTCTCGTCCCCCACCCACATACCCAGCAGTCGCTGTGGGGTGGGGGGGTCTCCCCTGGGTGAGAGTGGGAGGTTCCTTTTTAAAATGAAAATAAGCCCAGAAAGGAAAGCTGCTTGTTACAAAGACCCCTCTTTGAGTTCATGACATGCTCTCCTCCTCAATGGGTACTTAGGAACGGGTTTTATTTGTTGAAGAGAAGGTGGGAAAAGTCTAATGCAACTAGACGCTCAGGCAAAGCTTCTAGGAGATACGGAAAGGATAGGAAACGGGGGTGAGGACGCAGGGCCCGGGGCTCACCTGCCTGCACCACCCGCGGCAGCACGGCCGGGCGCGTGCAGAACGCCGCATCTCACCTCCGTAGCAGCCCTGGCAGGGAGCCGCGGGCTTCTCCCTGCTCTTCAGAGGAGGAAATTGGGCGCACCACACTTCACAGTTTACCTAGAGCCATTCTCTGTGAAAGGTGCAAGGATGCCTGGTTAGGTGAAAACTTCTACTAACTCGGAATTAATCCACGTTGCCCCCGTGGCACCACCGGCCTGGGAAAGGGCGACGATGTTGGCAATCATTCTTGTCCCCATGAAACGCGCAGCTCACCCCGTTTCAGAGTCACCCTGGGATCCCGGGACTTCAACATGAAGCTTCCTGGGTGGCTGGGAAAGTGGGGAGGACGCCCCTTTCCCCCTCTCGGAACCGGGCTCTAAGCAGCGCTGCTTAGGCGGCCGCGTGTTGCAGAGACCCTAACGGGGCGGCTCTGCCTGCAGCCGCGTCCGTCCGCACAGGCCACCGGGTCAGAGCTCCTCCAGCCTGAGACCACCCGTAAATAACGCCAGCGCTCCCTGCCTGCCACTCAGCGGGCTCTAGCCAGCTGTGCAGAACCCCAGCCGGGCCCCGACACGAGTCTCCCGACCTTGCCCCTGCCACACCTGCCACATGTGGCTTGAAGCTTAGTTTAGGTGCTGGCGTTTCTAGCACTCACCAGTTGGAAGGCGAAGATCACCCAGCTTTTACTTGATCACAGATATCGTTGCAAAGAACCAGACGTGGGCGACGATCTCGCCCTCTCCGTGCAGGGGTAACTAACCGCCACCATCCCGGCCGCCATCGGGCCTTGTCACGGTGCAGCCGGGACTGGCGGCATTTGTGCTCGCAGCTCCGCTTGCTCTGGGAAGTGAAGTGAAATGAAAGAGGCTGTCTCCCTGTTGCTACCTTACCGCCGCCGTTCCGGGGCCATTTGAAGATGTACAATGAGTGACTCGCCAGTTTTTGTTTGCTGTGCCTGGCTTCTGAATCCAGTCGGCCTTGAAATCTGCCCGCCTAACCTGCCCCGATGCCCGCCCTGCGCGCTCCTCCCCCAAGGGGGCTCCCGGGGAGCCGCCCCCTGTGCTCTGTGGTACTTACTGACCCTTCCTTCCTTGTCTCTTTCCTCCACAGTGTGGCAAAGGAGCGGAAAACTTCGACAAGTTCTTCACGCGAGGACAGCCCGTCCTAACGCCGCCGGATCAGCTGGTCATCGCTAACATAGACCAGTCTGACTTTGAAGGGTTTTCGTACGTCAACCCCCAGTTTGTGCACCCCATCCTACAGAGCGCAGTATGAAACTCACCGGCGAGAGAAAGCGCCCCCCACCCCCAGCCCCCGGCCCCCCAGCAGCGGGAAGTGATCCTTAAGCCTAAAATTTTAAGGCCATGGCCTTGTGTCTTGTTGCACTTGGAGGCCTGAAAATTATAGGGTTATTAGTCCAAATGTGATCAACTGTTCAGGGTCTCTCTATCACAACCAGGAACATTATTTTAGTGGAAGATGACATAATGTGCAGTGTCCAGTTTAATTATTTAGAAGTCACATCTGGCTGTAGATTGTAACCCTTCCTAGAAAGCAAACAGACTCTTGCCCCTTTTTTGGTACAATTTGATATATTTTCCATACCCTCCGTCTGTGGATTTTCACCCTCGGGATTCCCCAACCAGAAATGTTAAAATGAACCTGCCCCAGCCCAGCGGGCTGGAAACACCTCCACCCAAGACGTCTTTGGAACGGAAGCCTGGGGCACCTAGGGAGAGAGAGCAAGGGAAGGGACCAGGGGTCAGGGAGGTTTCGAAATACCCTCTGCCTCAATGGAACGGAACTGCCTCAACAGTCCCTAGAATCTAAGAGGCCAGGATGGACGTAATCACTGTCCCCAGACATTGACACATCATAACCCAACCGTGGTCCAGTGGTTAGCAGTTAAAGAAAGAAAGAAAACTTCAGATGAGTGCTGGGTGAATCTGTCCTCTGGTACCTACTTGGCTGATAACTGTCTTGATACTTGCATTCTTTTTAAGAGGCCAAATCGTCTAAGGACTTTGCTAAACGAGCATGTGAAATCATTTCAGATCAAGGGCAAACCATTGTGCGTGTACGTTCCTTTTAATCTCTGGGAGATTGTCCTTCGATCCAGGGTGCCATCAGTAATCATGCCACTATTCACAAGTGTCGTTAGCCAACCCCGCCCCAATATTTTGCTCCCAGTGTTGTCACCCACCCCTGAGAAACTGAAGCGTGCGCTCCCTCCCCTTTTGTACTTATTTATTTAATAGGCTGAGATGTCGTTGATGGAGTGCAATGTACAGTAACTTAATCGGCGTGTTGACTCTAGCATCGGTCCCTACTGGTTGGTTTTCTTCCCTCCTCCAGCCCCTCATATCCACTTAGGGATGAAAAACAATGAGGTTTTGGTTCCCGTTCCCAGTTCTTGTTGAATGACACACCTGGAGCTGTAGAGTCAGGAAACCTGGATGCACAGCGGCTCAAAGACGTTTCATCACTAGAAGGATTTTAATATGTTTTGCAAATGCATCATGCAATGAATTTTGCATGTTTATAATAAACCTTAATAACAAGTGAATCTATATTATTGATATAACCGTATCAAGTATAAAGAGAGTATTACAATAATTTTATAAGACACAATTGTGCTATATTTGTGAAGGTTCTTCTTTCTAGTCTGCTTTTATGATTTAAGTTTTAGCTTAATTCTTTACTGCTGTGCTTTCTCCCCACCCCCCCCCCCCCCGCCCCCTCCCTGCACTTGGGCACTGTACCAGATAGATTAATTTTTTAATGTGGATCTAATTTCAAAAATGAATGGCTACTTTACATGATCAATTAGGCTTTTACTATATATGTGTGTGTGTGTGTGTATATATATATATATTTATATATTTGATTCTACCTGCAAACAAAAGTTCTGTTTGTGGGGTTATTTTTGAGATGAGACTCTCTTTTAGCTTCTCAATGCCATCTTCCATTTGGGTTCCTCTGCCACTCTTCCTCTTGGGGACAACGGGAAGCGTCCGACTCCAGTATGCCTAGTATGTGTGTGCACGTGTGGCGTTGTCACAGCGCCCGGGCTGAACTTTGTGTGTCTGCGTGTGTTTGTTTTGCTCTTCCTTTCAGCCGTGTGACCGTTGGTGACCCTGGGGGCGGGAGGGGTGGGAAGACTCCCTTCTTGCTGTGTGTATCTGGACGCACCAGAAGCTTGCTGTCTGCCCGCCCGGGATGCCCCGCCGTTTGCTCCAGCACACACAGACTCCACGAGACCCACCACGTGTCACCCGAGCACAACCACGCCCTGCAGGTGCCGGCACACGCTTCTCAGAGGCTACGCACTTCCTTCCAGCCGTTGGCCTTCGCAGGCTCGCAAAGAGCCCTTCTTTGGTGAGACAACCCCTCGATGCAAGGCCCTCAGGGGAGCCAGGCTTCTACGACAGAAAGAAAATGAATGCAAGTGGCTATCGGTCCTTGCAGAGAGCTGCTGTATTTCCTCCCGAAAGCATCTCCCTCTGGCTCTGTTCTCATGACATAGAACTCCTGAAGGGTCTTGGAGGTGAGAGGCCTGGCTGTCCTGGACACCCCTGAGTGGAGGAAGAGAGGGAGCAGGGAATGGGCACAAGCAAAAGAAAGCAATTTCTTCTGCCATCTTTTAGGGACCTTGGACACCCAAACTCAGAAGGGGCCCGGCTCTGTCCCTGCAGTCGTATGGGCAGTGCGCGTTCTGGGGGCATGTCCTGACCAGTGCACCTCCTTTGGTCCAATGGGAAGAAGACTGGTTTGTAAAAGAGCCTAAAAGACAAACGGCCAGTCCTCCTGCGGCAGACGGGGAGCAGCAGCAGGACGATCCCAGCTCACCCGGGAGAGGCGGGAACCCCACGAGGGGTGCATGGGCTTAGGGACCATTCATTCCAGCACCCCAAGCCACCTGCTGGCTTTAAGCAAGGCTCAGGCTTTCCTTCAGACAGCAAACCCTCGGTTCCAAATTCCTACTTCTCTTGGAAACATTCACCATCCCCGTCCCAGATGGCTCGTGTTCCTTCAGAATGTGTGGCAAAGTTTCCAAAGACAGCGCCGTAACCATGGGGCCCGGCGTTCAGCCTTAGGGACAGCAGACTGGAGAACAAACCCGGGGAGGGAAAAGCAGTAAAAACGAGGGCGCGAGGACGTGGCCTGCGTTAGGCGTTGCTGAGTGTTGGGTTTAGGTAGAGGCTCGTGCTTTAAGGATCTGAGCAGCCCAAGACAGCCATCGCTGGAAGACTAATGTGGCTAACCATGAACAACTGTCACCCACAGAGTCGACTCAGAAACGCTCACGGGCATTGTGTGAAAAGCCGCAGCAGGGTAACCGCTGCTGTGGGAGCCGCAGCAGCGCATGGGAGGCACAAGGGGGACTCCTTAGAGGGGCAAGTCCTGCCCCCGGGCACTGCCTGTGCCACTGGGGCTGGGAGGTCCAGGCCACCTGGCAGAATCTAGCACAGTCCCAGGCTCCGCAGGCCCCGGGGTTGGGGGGTGGGGGGACCACGAAGCCCAGTGGAATCGCTTTGTGTCCTTCTCCCGTGGAAGGTGGCAGCCGTTCTGCGGCAGAACTTCTCTCCAAGGCTGTGGGCCAGCGGGCTGGCAGCCCATCTCTTGGCATCTCGTCTAAAGCCACCAGATGCTGGGCTTGAAAGGAAGTCGCTGGGGTGTGCCGCCAGGAGCAGCGCACAGGCTAACCGGCGAGAACTGGTTCCAAAGGTGGGTGGGAAAGCCCCGGGGCCAAAGGGTCGCTCCCCGAGCTTGGACTTGCCTGTCTGCCCCGTGGCCTGGCGTGGTTGATGCAGAACCGATGCCTGCCTGTTCTCAGGAGACGCGCGAGGCTTTCTTGCCAGGAATTTTGATAGAAAATCAGGAGGTTGAGAGCTCTTTGCAAAGTTGGCCCGAGATGTTTGGTTGAAAGATTGTGGAAGACAGAGATTAACAGCCCAGCAAGAGTTGCCGAGCGTCTCTTGGAGCTGAAGCCCTTAGGCGAGCAAGGGGACTTGCTACAGAGGGGGGTGTGCAGAGCCTTGAGGGCCCTCAAGGATGTGCCAGGAAGGGGGGAGGCTGCGGTCAGGGAGGACGAGGGAGGAGGAGGAGCAGGGCAGCGCCTGCAGAGGGTCCCTGCGGGAGGAGCGGAGGGAGCGGCTGTCGTTCTCAGTGGCTTCCCGTCAGGGTGCCGGTGCAGATGGGAGTTACCGTCTGCTGGTTCTCGAGAGAGTGTTTTGCCAGGGACACAGTCTGTTCCTCCTCAGACGACACCCCCAAATGCCAGCAGCATCCACACCAGCTGCTAGAAGCCCCTTCCCCTCCCCCCTCCGTCCAAACAGCGCGCAGTTCCCTGGCGGGGCCAGTGAGTTCCTGCCCGCGTTCCTCTGTCGCTTCCCGATGAGGACGATGGCAGCTGACAATGGGTGCAGAAGTCACAAGCACAACTGACACCACAGTTCCCACCTGGTTCCTCCTCGCAGGAGAAATCTGAGTTGTTTTTGCTGGGGTTTGCTTTCTCATTACTGCTGAAGGGGAGGTGAGAGTCTTATGTTTCTAAAAGCCTCCGGAAGGCAACACCATCTGACAGTCATTTTCTCACCTTGGTCTTACGAAGTCACCTATTTGTTGTGTGTTCATATCACACTATGTCCTGTTTTTTTGTTTTTTTTTTTTTTATATATAACCCGGCAAGGGCAGGAGTGCCTGCTCCCTGCCGAGCACACCAAGCAGTCGTCACGAAAGGCGCCGTGAGCCAGGGGCCCGAGGGGATGTGACCGTGAGGGGTTACAGGGAAAGCAGCAGGTGCGACCGTCATCAGGAAGGAAAGGGACGCTGGGTTATTAGTGGCTGTGCGCCAGTTGGGCAAGGAGTGTTGGGACGTGTTTTTAAAAATCTTTTCCTGGGCTACATTTCATGAAATACACTGGACAGTCATTCCTGCCACCTCCCATTTGGGCTGACGCAGCAAATCTCGGGGATGCTGTCTATTTCTGCTCTGAGAAGGTCCAGAACGTTGGGGAAGGTTCCCCGAGTTATGCATGGATGAAGGCAGTCATCTAGAAATGGTGTCAACCACACGTTGTCAGTGCTGTGATGTCAGGGTCCCTGGGAGGAGGGTTAAAAGTGTGAACGGTTATCATTCCCGGGCCTCTCGTTCGTGTGACCAGGGGTCAGTTAATAACCGTGCAGGTCGCACTCGGCCATCAAAACAGCCTTACAGTGAACCCTACAAGCCCCCAAATCCCAAAGACTTTTTTTTTAACCCTTAAGGAAGTTACTAATTTGTTAATTCCAATAGAACAACCGCACATACTGGGCTATTTGTACTTTTTTATAGAGAACTTTAATAATGCAATTCTTTTAAAAAAAAAATGAGTTTTTAAAATGAAGCTACTGACAATTTCATAAGATTCCAACCATATAGAGCCTGTGGGAGGACCCGGCCTGGGTCCGCTGGGACGCCCCGACCTGCAATCCCGCTGCAGGGGCTCCCCGAGCCAGCGGGGCGTGGGGTCCACACCGGAAGGACCACAAGTTCAGGTGCAACTTGTCGGCAGACTGATGCTCTGGGTGTTTTTAGCAGACACTGGGGACAACTGCTGAAGGTCTAGAAGCGTTGGAACCATAGGAAAGATGGCTTTATTGTCCCCCGTCCAGATGCAGCCCCAGGGTAGCAGTCCCAGGGGTCTCCGTGACCACCCTTGGGCAGGAAGGAGGAGGGGGACGCTTCCACGGTTCCATTCCCAGGTCTCACACTTGAGATGTGAAGATTCAGAGATGCCCTCTGAGGATTTCGCCCACCGGGCAATTCAGAAAAACTTCAACATCCCGGGAGATCGGAGGCAGCAGCAGGCGTGGCTGTCGGCCTGTCTTCACAGCAGTCACGTACGTGTGTAGACAGAACCCTACTTTTCAGAAAATATAGGTATCAGGCCCACTTTCTAAGAACCTTTTTTTTCTAAAATAAAAGGTGGCTTTGCATTTTCTGATTAAACAACTGTGTCTTTGTCTCTGCTTTTAACTTTAGGAGTATCTATTTCCTGTGATTGTGGATGTTTGTTGCTATTCTTCCCGGAAGAATGTGATCCTTTTCTTGAAAGGTTGGTTTAGTGGAATATTCGAATCATTCATGAAGGCAGTTACTACTTTTGAGTCCAAGGTTTTCTAAAAATTGACCTCACATCCCTTCTATTAGGATATCTCAGAGTATCTTTTATAGACAGAAACATTTGACATCATTGCTGTCGCTCCATGATTTTTTGTGTGTGTGAAGGACATACCGTGTTTAAATCGTGACTTTGAAAACCATCATTTATAGACCCCAAACTTGTATGGAGGAAGAGATGTAGACTGAGGGTTTTCCTTCTGTGTAAGCACCTACTGACAAAATGTAGAGGTCATTCACCTGTCAAACGACGCTGGGTTATAGCGCGGATGAGATGGATGTATAAATTACTGCATTGCTTTTCTCAATTTGTATAACCTCTAATCTTCGTTTGCATGATATGCTTTGTTAGATACATTCATTGTAGTTTGGAAGCCAGCGTGTATGAATAAAGATAACGATCATTCCTTTGTGTGCTTAGCCTCATTTGCATCCCTTTGCGGCATGGCAATTATTTTTTCTCAAGTGTTCGTGGAATAGCGTTTGACTCTGGACACACTCTGCAGAACACGTTCATCTCTCCACCTGGTTTTCAGACGGGGCTCTTCATTTAAAGTCACATTTATTTTTCTCTCAGAATACTTCATGCTTTGAATCATAGCCCCAACGGCGACCAGGATAAAGTCGTGGGAGGTCATTCATTTGTTCATTTTTATGCATCGACCGTTCCTGTGGGCACCTGCCTGCTTGGGGCCGGGCTGGTGCCAGGCGCTGGGGACCCGGTGGCGAGGAGGACTGGCGCAGCCCCCCCTGCCCGCATGGAGCTTGCATTCTCGCAGCCCCAACCTGCAGGCACACGCAGCAACTGACAAGGACACTGTCCAAGGATGGATGGTCTCCTTCCACTGGAATGAAAGATTCCAGACAGGATTCTACCCAAATCTTGAGAGTTTTTCTCCCAAAATAGATACTTTTCACACATCCTGTTGGCCACATGGTGGATTCAGCTTCAGGGCTGTCCCCACTTCTCAGTCAGAATCCTCATTCTGCATTTATTCATGGTTGAAAATTGTGGGAAATTTTCAAATGTGGAACATTCAAAAATACCCAGTGCCTAAAACCTCAATGCCATGGAGGGAATTAGCCCCAAAAACAACAGCAAAAACCCCACGATTTCTAAAAGCCAAGGGCCAGCCTTGGCCAAGCTTGTCTCTGCCCTTCCTCGCCCCCCTTCTGGGGGATGCTGTCTCCCCGGCTCACGGCTCACCCCACCGCTGCCGCCCCCGCCCGCCCCTGGCCCCCTAGACCTGCAGTCACCCTAGCTGGGCTGGCCTGGGCCTCACTCTGGGCTGGCTGACTTCACGTTTGTGCGTGGCTGTGGCTGTTCCTCACACTGCCTGGTAGCGTGGCAGCTCGAAGAGCGGCTTATCACCGCGTTTTAGCGTGGCCTCGGCTTGCGCCAGGGTGCTGACTGACTCGTTTCATTTTCACTGCAATGCAGAGTGGAGCGGCGCGGGTCGCCCTGCGCAGAAGCAGCTGGTGCTGTGGGGGCCTGAGTGGGTCCACCTGGGTTTGCTCCTGTGCGGGGGTTTGGGGGATCTCAGAGGCACAGCCGGGATCCAATACGGCTGGTCCTCCTGGTCCCACCCACAGAGGCCAAGGTGACAACCTGAGCAGCAGGCAGGGGACAGTTGTCCTTCCAGGGACGTTGTGTGCCACCCAGAGTAGATGCTCCAAAACCAGTCCTGCCCAGCACGGGGCTCCCATCCCCACCCCCCAGCAGGCCATGGCAGGTCTGCGCTACATCAGGGTTCTCAACGGGGGGCCGTTTTGCCACCCAGGGAGCATTTGGCAATGTCACAAGACATTTTGGGTTGTCTCACTCGAGGGAAGTTCTACCGACATCTAGGGGGTAGAGGCCAGGGGTACTAGTGAACATCCTCCCATGCACGGGGTGACCCGTACCCCCAACAACGCGCCCTCCCAGCCAAAATGTCAGCGGCGCTGCTGTAAAAAACCCTTTTCGAAAACACACTTCCAAGTCCTTCCACGTTGCTCCAGCTCCCCATCCTCCTGCCAGGTCTCCTCGAGGTCACCCTCGGTGTCTCATGGCCCTCTCTGCACAGCAGCCCACGGGACCTTGTCTGAGCAGGTCCCTTCCCCGTTTACAGCCCTCCGACGGCTTCCTGTCACCCATGCTTCTTGGCCTGCCGTCCTCACTCGCCCCGGCTCCTGGCACCCTGGCTCAGTGGTCGGGAGAGTGAGCTTTGGAGGAGAAAAGCCAACTTGTTGGGTTGGGGGGGTGTCTGTCTGCCTGTCCCCTCAGCATATAAGCTCTACGGGAGGGGACAGCTTGCTCGTCCTGTTCACTGCTAGATCCCAGCAGCTTGGCACATAGTAGGGGCTCAAAAGATGAATGAATGAAAATGAGTGGATCCTGACTTCTCTGAGCCTAACAGGGTGCTGCAGAAACCTTACTGGGCCGTGTCTTTGCCCTCAAGGCAGTCACAAACTAAGGAGACCAGATGTACATGCAAGAACTAATTAAAAAATCGTCTCCCAAAAACTTGTCATGAGCTTATGCCTAAGAAACAACGTCTCAATCTCTGTCCTTCAACCCAGCGTCTGTCGGCGACAGCTGCCTGTGGTTACTACGCTTGAGTGGCACTTAACGCCCTGAGTTTTTCCGCTGGCCTGTTGTGTGCTCTAGGGGTGCAATTACGGTTCAGCTAGAATGCACATGGGCAAAGGCCAAGGCCATCTATTTGCACGCTCCATCCGTCCCCATCCTGAGCGCGCGGGTCCCAGGGAGCAGGGCATCGCCTGCAGGGAGTGGGCGATAAGTGCTTTTGGCTCGGAGAAAGCAGAACTGGATGTCTCCCCAAGATTCTTTTTTTAACAAAGCTAATTCAATAAATACATTGCAAGGAGGCCTATTCTAGGATTGAGAGGAGAAGGTAGAATATGGTTCTACAGAAATGAAAGAGCTAGCGGTGGGCTCGAGCACTCGACAGACAGGTGAAAAAAATAAAAACCGAAAGTATGAGGCAGATTATAAATGCAGGTACAGGCACGCACGCACACACACACACACACACACGCACACACATGCACACGCTGAGTGATGACCAGATACTCTTCTAGTTACTTTAAAGCCCACGGTGACCCCCCATCCCCCATAGCATAGGTCCTATGTACTGTGCCCATTGCACAGAAGAGGAGAGGGAAGTCCAGGGAGCTTGGATAACAATACCCAGGTGAGCATCACCAGACGCAGAGCCGACTGGCAGAGCAGAGGTGTGACCATGCCAGGTGCCTTCCCAGGGGAGGACACAGGAGGCTGCCATGTGACCAAGGAGAGGCTGGGAAGAGGCCACAGATGAGCCAAAACCAGAAAGCAAGCGGGAAGGGGAGGGCTGACAGGCATCCAGTGCCTAACATGTCAACTGAACACTCATGTCATTTAATCCTTGTGGCACCTCTGGGGGACAGAGGTCACTGTTCCCATCTTACAGGTGGGGAAACCAAGACCCAAGGTAATTAACCAGCTTCTGGATACATAACTCTGGGCTCGTGGCTCTCTGATCTTTCTGGCCGTGGCCCACTAGGGGGCCAGAGGTGGCAGTGGGTGGGGCGTGCAGGACCAGTTCTCCCTGGGGGCCTTCTGCACCCCCATTCCCTTTTATGGCTTCCTTCAAAGCCAATCTTGTCACCAAGGGAGAAGGGTCCTTACCTTGGCCGACTGATGCCTGCGAGACTGGACGCCCTTCTGTAACTGCTTCCAGAAGCCTCTCTCCCACCTTCTCCCTCCTTCTCTTGATTTTTTTTTCCTTTTGAGCTGTCTGGGCGTGGGAGGAGAGAGAAAAATAGCACCGCAGTTCTCAGAACCCAGCAGGTATTTCTGCAGCTGCTCTCACCTGGCTGACTCCTGCCTGGAGGGGCCCAGGGGGAAGGGGGAGGCCGGCAGGAGGAGCAGCTGGCTTGACGGGGGTCCCCCTCCCAGCGGAAGTCACCCTGGCATGGAGACCTACGCCCCCCGCCCTGCCCCAGGAGTCAAAAACACACTCCGTCAAGCATCAGCTAGTGGGCAGGGAATTTGCCAGAATGCAATAACTGATTTCTTTGGCACCAGGCAGCCCAGGGAGGAAAGGCTGGGCTTGGTGAGGGCAGATTTCTGTAGGCATGCTTTTGCTTTTCTAGAAAATTTACAAAAATAGCACCTGATTATTGTAGCTAGTACATTTAAGGAAAAGAAAATCCCACGATAGTTAAACTTTTGTTCAGGCTCCACTGGGCCTCGAAGCCGGTCATCTAAAGCTGAAATCACAGATACTGCTACACACATCCTTCAAACACTTTGTGGAAACTTAAAAGCTGGAAACTCATGACCGTTCAGAACAGACGAGCACTTCTCTCTGAGCAGTGAACCTCTTTCCTGCTCTTCCCCATAACTCTTGACTGATAATTTCCAATTTGGGTTTATTTGAAGAGAAGCAAGACATTCACCAAACAACCTGAATACAAAGTCTGGCCAGTCTTGCCCACCGCTGTCTCTTTAATCCATTTTTAAAAATTCATCTTTATTCTCTGCTTTAAAAATTCCATTGCATGTTCATTGAAACAACTCTATTCTTTGCACTTGTATTTCATCAGTTTACATGGCATTTGCTTAAATTACTTAACTATCACGAAGATATAGAAACCATCAAAAGTTTGGGGAATAAAGTGACATGTTCTTACTAATTCCCCTATTGTGGGAATTATAGGTTTTTCCAGTTTTAAAATTATTTTGAACAACTCAGTGATGAACATGTTTGTTCTTAAAATTTTGAGTGCATTTTGGATCATACTCTCAGTTGGATTCCCAGAAATACAATGATCAAACACTGTCAGACTCTCACTACCTATGTCCTCTTTTGCTTCTTGAAACCTTATTTTCCATGGTGACATTTCCCTGCTCTCAAATCAACTAGTAGCACGTGTTTCTTTTCAACGTCCTGCTGTTCTTAGTTGGTTCGCTGTCAAGGGCCTTCATTCATTCACGCAACAAATATTTATGTGAGCACATACTATACCCCAGGGATGCTATGACTACCAGAGCACAAAGGCAAGAACATTTTGGGCTTTTGTCTCTTTCTACAGGATTCGAAGTAGCTTGCAAGTAAAAGACTTCAAATGAATAATAAAAGTAGAAGGTCAAGACCAGGGACAATAAAAGCAGCTTGCTGTGGTTTGGGTATGTCTGTCTGTCCCCACCAAAACTCATGTTGAAATTTGATCCCTAGTTCGGTCACACGGTGGTTCACTATAATCCTACCGCTTTGGGAGGTTAAGGCAGGAGGATCGCTGGAGGCCAGGAGTTCAAGACCAGCCTGAGCAACATAGCCCGACCCTGTCTCTGCAAAAAAAATTTTGTAAAAATTAGCCAGGTATGGCGGTGTGCTCCTATAGTCCCAGATGCTGGGAA